AAGTTTTTCTGGAGGTTTAGTATTATTTTTTCTCTTTCCATGGAAGATTTTAAAACATATCTCTTTCTTTTTTCTTTTAAGAGACAAGTCTTGCTCTGTTATTCAGGCTAGAGTCTAGTGGCACAATCATAGCTCACTGCAGCCTTGAACACCTCAGCCTCTAGAGTAACTGGGACTACAGGCATGTGCCACCATGCCCAGCTAATTTTTATTTTTTGTAGAGATGTATATTGTCCAGGCTGGTCTCCCACTCCTGGGCTCAAGCTCCTTCACCTCAGCTTTTCAAAGTGCTGGAATTACAGGTGTGAGCTACCACACCCATCCTAGAAACATACTTCTACTTCATATTTATCACGTGTTCCTCACTTCTTGTCAATTTTCCGTTCAGAGGCTCTCCTTTCACAGCCTGGTGCTAGAGGCACTTAGCAGGAAAGCCTTAATGAAATTAGAATCATCCTTCACACCTCTCCCCTAAGCCAATGAACAGAAAGAACTGTTGAATAAGTAACCATTACGTGCACTTTGAATACACGGCTTTGAATATTTGGCTCATCATCTTCTTTTCTGTTTTAGTTTCTTCCTCAATAACCAAGACTAGTCTTCCTGACTCATGTGGAGCTGAGTCACCTGTTGGTGAGGGTGGAGGAGTGAGAGATCTAAATTTGGTAACAAGATGTGAGAAATCAACTTATCTTCCATAGGACCATTCAATCTAGGAAAATGCTGGGACTGAACTAATCACTTCAAAGATGCCCAGAACCAAAGACCTTCTTCCGACATACAACCCCCAAGGTCAGCCATCAGCTGAGGTCCTGTGGCCACATTTGCCAGGAAAGATGAGGGGAGGAGAGTGTGAAGGGATTCGCCAGTTTTTCCATATTGGAGTCCTGAAGTACCTCAAGAGATCCTATGGAATGCTTAAAATATCATGCTTAAAATACAGGCTTGGCCGGGCGCAGTGGCTCACGCCTGTAATCCAAGCACTTTGGAGGCCAAGGCGGCCGGATCACCTGAGGTCGGGAGTTCAAGACCAGCCTGACCAACATGGTGAAACCCCATCTTTAAAAAAAAAAAAATACAGGCTTAAATTGTTGCGCTTGTAATCCCAGCTACTCCGGAGGCTGAGGCAGGAGAATCACTTGAACCCTGGAAGTGGAGGTTGCAGTGAGTCGAGATTGCACCACTATACCCCAGCCTGGGCTACAGAGTGAGACTCTGTCTCAAAAAAAAAAAAAAAAAAAATATATATATATATATATATATATGTGTGTATATATATATGTGTATATATATGTATATATACACACACACACAAATTTATATGTGTTTATATATATATAAACACACACATACATGCATACACACACATGCGCACACACGCATAAATTGTTGGGCTGGGCACGGTGGCTCATGCCTGTAATCCTGGCACTTTGGGAGGCTAAAGCAGAAGGACTGCTTGAGCCCAGGAGTTTCAGACAAGCTTGGGTAACACGGCAAAACCCCATCTCGACAAAAAAGTTGAAAAATTAGCTGGGCATGGTGGTGGTGGAAGAATCGCTTGAGCCTAGGGTTCAAGGCCGCAGTGAGCTGTGATTGAACTACTGTACTCCAGCCTGGCTGACAGAAGCAAACCCTGTCTCAAAAAATAAATAAAAATAATAACATATAAATTATTTAGAATATCCTGTCTGATGACTGTAGTCACAGTTCAGTAGGTGTGACGTGAAATGTTCAATGTCCTGACTGTCCAGCTTTGTCCCCATAAGAACTTCCACTTGGGCTTGGTGTGGTGGCTCACACTTGTAACGGGAGGCCATGGCGGGCGGATCACCTGAGGTCAGGCATTCGAGACCAGCCTGGCCAACATGACTAAACCCCATCTCAAAAAATACAAAAATTAGCCAGGCATGGTGGTGGGCACCTGTAATCTCAGCTACTCAGGAGGCTGAGGCACGAGAATCACTTGAACCCGGGAGTTCAGTGAGCTGAGATCAAGTCACTGCAATCCAGCCTAGGCAAGAGAGCAAGACACCATCTCAAAGTAACAACAATGAAAAACTTCTATCTTTCTTACCTTTCAGGATATTTTCCTACCAAGACCCACTAGGTCAAAGGGGAGTGGGACAGGAGGTGTTCCTCACTTCCTCTCAATTTTCCCTTCAAAGGCTCCCCTTTCGCAGCCTGGTGCTGGAGGCACTTGGCAGGAGAGTCTTAATGAAATTAGGATCACTCATCACACCTCTCCCCTGAGCCAATGAATAGAAAGGACTGTTGGATAAGTAACCATGCACACTTTTTTTTAAAGACTTTATTTTTCATCATAGTTTTAGGTTCATGGCAAAATTGAGAAGAAGGTACAGAGTTCCCATTCACCCCCACCCCTGCACATGTGTAGCCTCCCCCAACAATCCCACCGTTTAGGAGGCTGAGGCAATTGGATAGCCTGAGCTCATGAGTTTGCGACCAGCCTGGGCAACGTGGCAAAACCCAGTCTCTACAAAAAAATACAAAAAAAAGAAAAAAAATCACCTGGGCATAGTGGTGAGTGCCTGTAGTGCCAGCTACTCAGGAGGCTGAGGTGGGAGGATGGCTTGAGCCCCGGAGGTGGAGGTTGCAGTGAGCCGAGATTGCAAAACTGCATTCCAGCCTTGGTGATAGAGCCAGACCTTGTCTCTAAATGAATACAAACAACAAAAAAGAAAGAATATACACAGACTATGTTCAAGGAAGAGTAACAACAAAAAGCCTCAAGGCTGATGAATAGTGTGCTGTGAGAGTATTTGAGTATCAGGAAGACTGAAACAAATAAAGCTAGACTGAAACACTTTGTTTTGTTTTTGAAACAGAGTAGTCTCCTTCCAAGCCCAGGCTGGAGTGCTGAGGTGCAATCACCGCTCACTGCAAGCGCAGCCTTGACTCCTCCATCTCCAATGATTCTCCCAACTCAGCCACCTGAGTAGCTGGGACCGCAGGTGCGTAACACCAGGCCCAGCGAATTTTTGTATTTTTTGTAAACATGTCTTCACCATGTTGTCCACGCTGGTCTCAAGCTCTTGAGCTCAAGCAATTCACCTGCCTCAGCCTCCCAAAGTTTCCAGATCATAGGAGTGAGCCTAGGATGAAATACTTTGAATGAAGCACTCTAGTTTACAGAACTTTATTCTGTAAACACTGGAGACCTTAGCAAAGAAATATTCAGATTTACCTTTTAGAAAGACAGCTGTGCCCAGAAGGGATGGACTTGAGAGTGAAATCAGATCACTGTTTCTTTCAATAGCTGCATGAGAATTTGAGGGGTGGGGGGAACAAAGCACATTAAAATGAAAATTTCTGGGTCCATCCTTTAATTATTGAATAAGAATCTCTGGGCTCAAGGCCTTGGGAATCTGTATGAGTTTCGTCTCAAACGTAGGAGTGATTCTTGTGGGCTCTCAAGTCTGAGCTATAGATCAATCAAAAATTGGATAATTTGCAATTATCCAATTAAGAAATGAAATGTCCCGGGGCCATGTCTCATGCCTATAATCCCAGCAATTCAGGATGCTCAGGTGGGAGGATCACTTGAGTCCAGGAGTTCAAGACCAGCCTGGGCAACATAGTGCTTCATCTGTACAAAAAAATTAAAAAGTAGCTGGGCTTGGTGGCAGGCACCTGTGGTCCCAGCTACTTGGGAGGCTAAGATGGTAAGACTGCTTGGGCCCAGGAGTTGGGGACTGCAGTGAGCTATAATTATACCGCTGCACTCTAGCTGAGTGACAGAGCAAGACTATCTCAAACGAGAAAAAGACAGCCTGGAGCCCTGGCTGACACCTATAATCCCAGCATTTTGGGACACCGAGGCAGGAGGATCACTTGAGGGCAGGAGTTCGAGACCAAAACCTGGCTAAACCCTGTCTCTACTAAAAATGCAAAAATTATCTGGGCATGGTGGTGAACGCCTGTAATCCCAGCTACTCTGGAGGTAGAGGCAGGAGAATCAGCTGAACCCAAGAGGCAGAGGTTGCAGTGAGCCCAGATCGAACGCGGCACCCCACCCTGGGCAGCAGAGGGAGACTGTCTCCAAATACATACATAAACAAATAACACATCCGTAGGCGGAAAACAATGTGGCAGTAATTTGCCTCAGTGTCCCCAGGCAAAAGGCGGCCCCCACCCTGAGGCATCGCACTTCCAGGTGTGCTTTTTTTTTCTTTTTTTTTTTTTAGACAGGTTCTCTTTTTTTTTTTTTCCTTTTCTTTTTTTTGAGACCGAGTTTCGCTCTTGTTATCCAGGCTGGAGTGCAATGGCGCGATCTCGGCTCACCGCGACCTCCGCCTCCCGGGTTCAAGCAATTCTCCTGCCTCAGCCTCCTGAGTAGCTGGGACTACAGGCGCACGCCACCATGCCCAGCTAATTTTTGTATTTTTAGTAGAGACGGGGTTTCACCATGTTGACCAGGATGGTCTCGATCTCTTGACCTCGTGATCCACCCGCCTCGGCCTCCCAAGACAGGTTCTCAGTCTTGCTCAGGCTGGAGTGCAGCGGTGTGTTCTTGGCTCACTGCAACCTCCGCCTCCCAGGTTCAAGTGATTCTCCTGCCTCAGCCTCTCGAGATTACAGGAGCATTGGGATTACAGTAATTGGGATTACAGGAGCATACTAGCACACCCGGCTAATTTTTGTATTTTTTAGTAGAGATGGGGTTTCGCCATGTTGGCCAGGCTGGTCTCAAACTCCTGACCTCAGGTGATCCGCCGGCCTCGGCCTACCAATTTGCCGGAATTACAGATGTGAGCCACCACGCCCGCCGCGCGCATTTCTGCAGACGGGAGTTTCCCCAGGCCTGGGAAGCTGAAGCGGCAGGCGCCCATACTGCGAAGATCCCGGAGGTTTCCAGGAGCGGGAGGGCGGGCCTGCAAGTAATAGCCGGGGGCAGGAGAAAGGCTCCGATTGGTCGGAGGGCGGGTGACGAGAAGGGGGCGGAGCCTCCCTGGGGGCTGGGAGGGCGGTAAAAGGGGGGGTGTGCACCGCCCGGTGTCAGTTTCGGAACCTCAGCCCGCGCACCTCGGCGCTGCTGGGCCTGAGCCGAGCGTCCGGCGAAGGTTGTTCCTCTTCCCGGCCGAGTCTTCTGCGGCCCTGGCACTCCCGCCCCGCGGCGTCCCACGTTCCCCCAGCCCGGGGCCCTGGGCGCGTGCGCTCCGTGCGGCTCTGCTCCGCGGGACTTTGTTTCCTCGTCGTCCCTCTTTGTTGCGCGGAACACCAGCTTAGCCAAAGCCCCCCGCCCCGGAGGGAGTTCGGCTTCTGCAGAAGGGCGGCTGCCGCGCGCTGCTCCGACCCCGCTTGCGGCCCCGCACGCCGCTGGTGCGCCCACCCAGCCTTCCTGGCACCCCGCCTGCGTCCGTTCGTCCGAGGAAGCCAGCCGCGACTTCATTGATGCACCCATTCCAGTGGTGTAACGGTGAGTCCCGGAGCCCGGACCGAGCCTAGGTGGGGCTGGGGGTAGCCGCGGCGCGGGGCGCAAGGTCGGACAGCAGCGCGCTGGTCCTCCTTCGGAAGCGAAGTTTCTCCTGAAATGGGACGGTTGAGAAGGCGTCCTGGCGCCCCACTCTGCTCTGCAAGCGCGGAATTTGAACAATCCAGGTTTCACTCGAGGGCCTGGAAGGGGCCTTCGGAAGGTTGATGGGCCGGGGGCGTGGGAGCCGAGGGGTTCCCGGCCTTTGTGTGGCGGCCCGGCTCTTCTACCCCCTTCCCCTGCCTTTGTGCGCTCAAACTCTGTTCTTTGTTGTGGTTGTTGGAGGAGAATTAAATCCGCGCTCAGGCTGGGATCTCCTAGAGGGAGCTCAAGTTCCCGGCCTGAAACTTTGTAGGCTATTTTAAATATGTATACAGTGCAGCGTGCGGGACGGGGCGCAGGAGTGGCTTCCTCTGGCTTTGTTGGCTTCCCACGGGCTGCTGGCGGGCTTGGTGCCTTTGGAAGACTGTGGATTAAAGAGTCACTTTCGGCCCCGGGCGCGGTGGCTCACGCCTGTAATCCTAGCCCTTTGGGAGGCTGAGGCGGGCGGATCACCTGAGGTCGAGAGCTCGAGACCAGCCTGACCAAGTTGGAGAAGCCCCGTCTCTACCACAAATACAAAATTAGCCGGGCGCGGTGGCGTACGCCTGTAATCCCAGCTACTCGGGTGGCTGAGGCAGGAGAATCGCTTGAACCCGGGAAATGAAGGTTTCAGTGAGCTGAGATCGTGCCACTGCACTCCAGCCTGGGCAACAAGAACGGAACTCTGTCTCAAAAAAAAAAAAAAAAAGAAAAGAAAAAAGTCGCTTTCCTGAGTTAATAAAACCTTGCTGAGAGCTCCGCACCCCGTTCGAGGCTGGCCTATGGGAGCTGCGCTTTCTGGCCCCCAAGGCCAGACTGGTGTGTCTGCTCCTGAACCCAAGTGAAGGCTGCGCCTCCGACCCGACAACCCCTCGCCCTGTTTCTCCCCAGGCCTGGGTGATGCTTCTAAGTTAGTTCATTTCACCTGAGGCTTTTGTAGGTTCTGGTGATACAGGGTTAGGCTGGAGTCTGATTTCCTCAGCAAGCTACCAGAAAGGAAGGTGTTTCTAAGCGGGACACTTAAACCTTGGATACTAATCGCCCCCCACCTCACCACCTCCAGTCCCCCTGGGGTCCTAGTCTTGACCGCGTTATTCCGATGCTTGCAGAGTTTCTGGGAGGGAGAGATGGGAAGCAGCTGGCGTTATCTCTGAGTGTGGCAAGCTAGCTAGTTACAGAGGGAAAAAAATCATTCTTGGGAGTAGACGCCTGCCAGATCTTGGATTAATTATGTCAAGAGGCTTTGTCTTAAGTCAGGGTTTGGGAAGCATGTATACCCCACACCCTCTCCCCCTTCCTCCTTTGCTGGTCGGATCTCATTTCCTGAAAATTAAACAAGCCGTGTGTGATAGGAGGTTTTGTGGGAGAGGGGGCAGAGGATGGGGGTTGAGGGAAGGCCCGTGCACCCTAGCATCTGGGAAAGATTCCCACTGGCTGGGAAAGAGAAGCAGTTCCCAGATCCCCTGGTCTTTCTTGGCCAGCCCTTGTCTGACGTCATTCCTGCTTCCAGTCTGCCAGATGAGATGAGACATTCTGATGTCAATGCTTTCATAGGTTGGCGGAGACAAGGGAACAGAGACTTAAGGGAGAAACGAGGCAGCTGTCAGTAACACTGCCCTTTCTGGGCAGCCCCCTTTCATATCAGGTTTTAGACTTGCTGCTTTATTTTATTTTTTGAGAGAGAGGGTCTCACTCCGACCACCATGCTGGAGTGTAGTCGCACCATCAGGGCTCACTGCAGCCTCCAACTCCCAGGCTCAAGGGATCCTCCTGTCTCGGCCTTCCAGCATAGATGGGACCACAGGTGTGTGCCACCACACCTGGCTACTGGCTAATTTTTATGTGTTTATTTTTTAGAGATAGGGTTTCACTACATTGCCTATGCTGGGTTTTTTTTTTTGTTTTTGTTTTTGTTTTTTTTTTGTTTTGTTTTGTTTTGAGACGGAGTTTCGCTCTTGTTACCCAGGCTGGAGTGCAATGGCGCGATCTCGGCTCACCGCAACCTCCGCCATCTGGGTTCAGGCAATTCTCCTGCCTCAGCCTCCTTATGCTGGTTTTTAACTCCTGGGCTCAAGCAACCCTCCCACCACGGACTCTCAAAGTGCTGGAATTAATGCAGGAGCCACCTTGTCTGGCCTCTTTGCACTTCTTAAAGTGACTGAGAGATCCTGTTCTTTGACTTGAGTGAAGAAGCGACCCCTCCCCCACCTCTTCAGAAACTATCTGGAGCCCCTCTTTCCTGGGGCTGTTCTTCCCTGTCCTTATATAGTTTTAAATAAAAACCTCTCTGCACTGGCAGCTTTTAACCAATAGACTATTTGCCATTTCTTTTTTTATTTTTCTTCTTCTTTTTTGGGGGGGAGGGGGACAGAGTTTTGCTCTTGTTGCCCAGGCTGGAGTGCAGTGGCACGATCTCGGCTCACTGAAACCTCCGCCTTCTGGGTTCAAGCCATTCTCCTGCCTCAGTCTCCCAAGTAGCTGCAATTACAGGCATGCGGCACCACATCTGCCTAATTTTGTATTTTTAGTAGAGATGGGGTTTCTCCCTGTTGGTCAGGTTGGTCTTGAACTCCTGACCTTGTGGTCCGCCCACCTCAGCCTCCCAAAGTGCTAGGATTACAGAAGTGGGCCACCACGCCTGGCTTTGCCATTTCTTCAATAAGAACACAAGCAAATGGACCATCTCCTCTTGACTGTGAAGCTCTTTCCCCCAAACTCTATCATGTGAAGTCCCAAGCTCGATGATTCAATCAGTGGGGAGATAGAGGGGAAGCCTTTATCAGACAGGATAAGATGGTGGGGATACACTGATCAGAGGACTTGGGGGTGGGGGCATCATGCTGGGAGAATGGGCACACAACCTCTGTAATATCTGCTACCAGGCTCTACAAGTTCCCACAACCGCAAACCAAAGGAGGTTTCAGCTCATGAAAGGTGCCCGGAAGAACCAAGGCAGATGGGGGTTAGACCCTCTTGTAGCATCAAATAATGCTGAGGAAGGAGGTGGGAAGACGGTTGGGGGCACAAGGGAAGTCCTGAGGCCCTTTTCCAGTGTAGACTGAAGTTTGTCACTCTAGCCAATCCGCCATAATGTCTTCATGGAAAATTGTTCTTTGGCCCACAGAAAGTAAATATTAGGGCAGGGAGTGGTGGTGAAAACCACTTTATTTCTAACCCAAGAGCCTAGTCACAAGGGACTTCCTGTTGGGCACAGCAAAGTTTAGTAGCTAATTATTTCTTTCATTTCAACTTAAGAAGTCTTTTAGAACAAGAACTTTTACTTTCTGTTTTCCCACGATGTGTAGGTCAGTGCATAAAGCAAGCCCTCAATAATATTTGCTGGTTGACTGGTGACATTAGCTGAGGGCAGTTTCTGGGCAACTTTCCCAAACATCAGTCCTGTTGCTTTGAAGTGGGAGGTTTTGCCAATGGGACCAGGTTATTTTAAGAAAATGGAAAATTATTTATCTATTAACTGGTTATTGAGAACAAGCCAAATGCTAGGCTATGCTGGAGGCTGGAGAATATACAAAAGTCCAAGTTGGAGTTGGCAAACCTAGGAGGATTCAGGCTTTTTTACGGAGTCTTGCTCTGTCACCCAGGCTGGGGTACAGTGGCACCATCTTGGCTCACTGAAGCCCCTGCCTCCCACATTCAACCAATTCTTCTGTCTCAGCCTCCCAAGTAGCTGAGGCTACAGGTGCGTACTACCACGCCCGGCTAATCTTTTGTATTTTTAGTGGAGATGGGGTTTCACTGTGTTGGCTAGGCTGGTCTCGAACTCCTGACCTCAAGTGACCTGCCCGCCTCAGCCTCCCAAAGTGCTAGCTTAACAGGCATGAGCCACCATGCCCGACAGCTCAGGCTTTTAGGGGAACTGTATACTCTCAGTGGTGCTCTCGTCTTTGTTCTTAGAAGTATAGACACGCCTCTTCTACAGTGCCTCATTTTTTTTTTTTTCATTCTAGCAAAACTAAGCCTCACTTTCTATGGTGAAAACTTTGTAATCCAAGCACTTTGGAGGCCAAGGCAGGCGGATCATCTGAGGTCGGGAGTTCAAGACCAGCCTGATCAACATGGTGAAACCCTGTGTTTTAAAAAAATAAATAAAAAATAAAAATAAAAACTTTGTGTCTTTTTTCCCATGTGGTAAGATCATCTAGTCATTTTTCTGTCCCTTTTTTTTTGAGACAAGGTCTTACTCTGTGGCCCAGGCTCCCAGGCTAAGTGTACTGGTGCAGTCATGGCTCACTGCAGCCTCGCCCTTTCAGATTCAAGTCATTCTTCCATCTCAGCCTCCCAGGTAGCTGGGATTATAGCCACTTACTACCACGCCCAGCCAATTTATTATTACTATTATTACTATTGGTAGAGATGGGATCTCACTGTTTCCTAGGTTAGTCTTGAGCTTCTGAAGTCAAGCTGTCCTCCTCCTGCCTTAGCTGCTCAAAGTGCTGGGGTTACAGGTGTGAGCCAACATACCCGGCTTGTGCTTTCTTATAATAGTACTTATCATACAATCAATGCTTAATGCACATTTGAGTTAAAGTAGCTCAATGCTAGGGACGATGTAAGACAGTTGCTGAGTAAGCAGGGGCCAAAACAACTGATGGAGGTCATGAGTGCTGTAGAATTCAAGGAGGAGAGGTTATTGGACCAAAACAAAGGCCAGGCTTGATGGGCCTCAGAGAGGGTGTTTCAGGAAGGGAAAACTCTTGTGAACAAAGACAGGGAGGCAGGCAAGGGCAAGGTTGTACAAGAAATAGTGAGAAAGACTGGCCCGTTGGGATAGTATTGGAGAGCTTTTAAGTAGGAAGCTGTGAAGGGACAGGGTGAATGTTTTAGGAGGACTTGAAGCCAGTCATGAGTTTGGAAAATACAAGATCAAAACAACCAGGAGGGAGCGGGGCGCAGTGGCTCATGCCTGTAATCCCAGCACTTTCTTGGGAGACTGAGATAGGTGGAATACTTGAGGTCAGGTACTCAAGACCAGCCTGGCCAACATGGGGAAACCCCATCTCTACTAAAAATACAAAAACTAGCTGGACATGGTGGTGTATGCCTGTATCCCAGCCACTCGGGGAGACTGAGATAGAAGGATCGCTTTTACCCGGGAGGCAGAGGTTGCAATGAGCCGAGATCGTGCCACTGCGCTCCAGCCTGGGTAACAGAGCAAGAATCTGTCTCAAAAAAAAAGGCAACTAGGAGGATGTGTTAGGTGTGTGGGGTAAATGAGAGGAGAAGGAACTAGAAACAGGAATGACATCAACTAGGAAACAGTGGGAGGTGATGAGTGTTTACAGTAGGGCTGTGGCAGTAGAATGGGGCACAGTCTGAAAGAGGTTTGAATGGAGGCTCATTACATAGTCGCCAGTAAGGGATGAAGAGGACTGATGTCCAAGTTGACTTCCAGTCTTTCAAGCCAGCCTGCTGCTGAGTTGTGGTAGCACTGGTCATTAGAGTATAGAATTCTTTGGCATGCAAATATACCCTGGCTCCCAGCCAAGACTCAGGAAAGTGCCTAGAACCCAACGCCTGAGTACAGAGAGCCCTTAGGAGCTAGGCCTTCCTAGCTATTTGACTGTGGGCGGGTTATTAAATGATTGAGTCTTTTTCCCATTGGTGGGGGAAGTAACCTTTACTGTGGCAGTACAAAGATGAAATTGATAGCATGAGAATGTGCTTAGGATGTAGCAGGTGGACAGCAAATTCCAGTTCTCTCATTCATCAAGGACTCCTCTCTTTCCCTTCAGCCATCCTCAGCCATTTGACATTTGTTTTTTGTTTTTTTTGTTGTTGTTATTTTGAGATGGAGTCTTGCTCTGTCACCAAGGCTGGAATGCAGTGGTATGATCTCGGCTCACTGCAACCTACACCTCCCAGGTTCAAGTGATTCTCCTGCCTCAGTCTCCCAAGTAGCTGGGACTACAGATGTGCACAACCATGCCCGGCTAATTTTTGTATTTTTAGTAGAGAAGGGGGTTTCACCATGTTGACCAGGCTGGTCTCGAACTCCTGACCTCAAGCCATCCACCCACCTTGGCTCCCAAAGTGCTGAGATTACAGGCATGATCCACTGTGCTCGGCCAAGCGATTTGACTTTCTACTGGGCTGCTGTCTTTCCAGCTGCAGCTTAACTACTGCAATTCTACACACATACACACACATGCACTCATACACCTACACACACACACCCCACATGCACTCATACACCTACACACACAAGATACACACACAGAGCCACCCCCCTACACACACACACACAAAAAGAAAAACCTGTCGGGTGCAGTGGCTCATGCCTGTAGTCCAGCACTTTGTGGGGCTGAGGCAGGAAGATCTCGTAAGGCCAGGGGTTGCAGGCTACAGTGAGGCATGTTCATGCCACTGCACTCCAGCCTGCAGGGAGAGCGAGACCTTGTCTCCAAAAACAAACAGTTCCTTTTCCAAAAGATCTCTTTGTTTCTTTGATCAGAACTTGGTCACATACCCACCTGAACACCAAATACTGGCAAGAGGGCAAGAGAGAAGTAACTGTCATAATTGGTAGGCCAGTCAGTATTTATCCCTGAGTCCTGTGAGAAGGCACACATCTTGGCCTTTGCTTTTCAAACTGAATGTGCAGGGGAATCACCTGAGGAGCTTGTTAAAGTGTAGATCCTGGCCGGGCACCATGGCTCACACCTGTAATCCCAACACCTTGGGAAGCCAAGGTGGGTAGATTGCCTGAGCTCAGGAGTTCCAGACCAGCCTGGGCAACATGGTGAAACCCCATCTCTACTAAAAATTCAGAAATTAGCTGGGCATAATGGTGTGTGCCTGTAATCACAGCTACTCAGGAGGCTGAGGCAGGAGAATCACTTGAACCCGGGAGGCAGAGGTTGCAGTGAGCCGAGATTGCACCACTGCACTCCAGCCTGGGTAACACAGCGAGACTCTGTCCCAAAAAAAAAAAAAAAAGCATAGGTCCTGATTCATTTAGGCTGGGATGGGCCCGATAGTGTATGTTTCTAAAAAGCTCCCAGAAGATGCTGCTGTCACTGGGACTGCGCGTTGAGGCTTTGAGTAGAAAGCGGGAAGGTGACCAGTGAGGGAAGCTGTAACCTCCGCCCCACCCCCATCACCATTTTGTGGAATGCTGGCCCGGGACTTGGAGTGAACAATTTCTATTCTAGTCCTGGCACAGCTTGTCTTCTGGAGCAGGTGGCTTAATAATGACAAATAACCTTTGCAATTGCCCTTTGCAATTTACAAAGCATATTTTCTTACACACCCATTTTCAGTCCTCTCTCTATTTTGCTTGTTTTCGTATAACAAAGTGAAACTTAGAAGTCACTTCTTAAAGGTCATATGGCTAGCTAGGGAAGGGGGAGTTGAACCCAAATAATATTTTCTCAGCTAAGGCTATATGGGCTCCTACCTGATGGAATTAAGTTCTCCGGTTTCTACCCATTGCCTAAATTTTTATTTTTTTTTAATTTTTAAAAATAGAGATCGGGTCTCACTCTGTCACCCAGGCTGGAGTGCAGTGGTATAATCATCACTCACTGTATGTAGCCTTGTACTCCTGGGCTCAAGTGATCCTTCCACCTCACTCAGCTTCCTGAGTAGCTGGGACTATAGGCATGTGCTACCATGCCCAGCTAATTTTTCTATTTTTTGTAGAGATGGGTCTTGTATGTTGCCCAGGCTGGTCTTGAACTCTTGGCCTCGAGAGATCACCTGTCTCAGTCTCTCCAAAATACTGGGATTATAGGCATGAGCCACCAGACCCAGCGTGGCTAAATTTATTATCCCTTAGATGGGGATATTGTTTCAAGTATTTTGGCCAGTATTCAATTTTATAGATTAGTTAAATTTGCTCGAGATTACATAGCCAGTAAGTGTTAGAGCTGAGATATAAAACTGGAGCCAGTGAATCCGAGGCTTAGGCACCTGGAGCCTGCCAATTCTCTTTCTATCCTGCTGACATAGTGCCATCAGCCCCAGCAGTAAATTTCCAACCCTAATATGATTTATTTTTTCCTTTCCCTTTGCAGGTTGTTTCTGTGGCCTGGGACTGGTGAGCACCAACAAGTCCTGCTCGATGCCACCCATCAGTTTCCAGGACCTTCCACTCAACATCTACATGGTGATCTTCGGCACCGGGATTTTTGTCTTCATGCTCAGCCTTATCTTCTGCTGCTATTTTATCAGGTGCGTGGATCCCTGGCTGACTGGGGTGGGAGTCCAGCAGGAGGGAGGAGACCAGGGCTGTGGGGTAAGCTGAGCAAGGGTGCCATAGCAGAGTCACTAGCCTTATTCTGCAGTCACCACATTGAGGACATGGCTGAGCCTGCCCTTCTCTGGGCCCCTGAGGGTCTGGTGTTTCTATTTATATCAGCCTATCAGGTTGTTCCTGAGCATATAAGGTCACCACGGGTTGGGCTGCATCCCCCCTCCTGGCCAGTTATTCTCAGGTTGCCTGGAATTACTGTGTGAATGAGTGATAAAGTCCCTTGTCTGTCTTTCTCTATTCCTACTCATGTCCTTTAGGTGGTCAGCAACAGGTGGGCATCAGTTATGCCAGCATCATGTTCTTTTGCCCCCTGGGGCCCTGTTGTCAGCCCTCCAGATACTAATATTAGGAAGTAAGCCAAGTGTCTATAGAGAGCACTTGGTTTTTGTTTTTGTTTTTTGAGACGCTCAGGCTGGAGTACAGTAGCTTAAAGCTCGGCTCACTGCAACCTCCAACTCCCGGGTTCAGCAAGCAATTCTCCTGCCTCAGCCTCCCAAGGAGCTGGGATTACAGGGTTGTGCCACCATGCCCAGCTAATTTTTGTATTTTTAGTAGAAATGGGGTTTCACCATGTTGAACAGGCTGGTCTCAAACTCCCGACCTCAAGTGATCCGCCTGCCTCAGCCTCCCAAAGTGCTGGAATTACGGGCGTGAGCCACCATGCCCGGCCAGAGTTATTTGTTTAAATTGTCATTTATTCTTAATTGCTTAGGGATCTAAGGGAAGACCTGGAGCTTGGCAGGGCTCACCACACTCCGGGAACGCTTTCTCTGTCTCCTGCTGAAGGACAAGAGAACTGGTGGCTGTTTTTTGTTTTTTTTTTTGTTTGTTTTTTTGAGAATGGAGTTTCACTCTTGTTGCCCAGGCTGGAGTGCAATAGCATGATCTCAGCTCACCACAGCCTCTGCCTCCAGGGCTCAAGCTATGTTCTCCTGCCTCAGCCTCCTGAGTAGCTGGGATTACAGGCATGTGCACCATGCCCAACTAATTTTGTATTTTTAGTGGAGATGAGGTTTCTCCATGTTGGTCAGGCTGGTCTCGAACTCCCAATCTCAGGTGATCCACCTGCCTCAGCCTCCCAAAGTGCTGGGATTACAGGTGTGAGCCACCACACCCAGCCTGTTTTTTTTCTTTTTTTTTTTTTTTTGAGACGGCGTCTCACTGTCGCCCAGGCTGGAGTACAGTGGCACAATCTTGGCTCACTGCAACCCCTGCCTCCTGGGTTGAAGCAATTCTCCTGCCTCAGCCTTCGTCATAGCTGGAATTATAGTTGTATGCCTAGCTAAGATTTATTTTTGTATTTTTAGTAGAGACGGGGTTTCACCATGTCGGCCAGGCTGGTCTCAAACTCCTGACCTCAAGTCATCTGTCCACCTCAGCCTCCCAAAATGCTGGGATTACAGGCATGAGCCCCTATGCCCGGCCTCTGGTGGCAGTTATTCTATAAAAAATTTAGAACATGACTGGTATTTAGAATGAGAATCAAAGTAGTAGTGTTTCTGACTGGGGCTTACTGTTGGCATTGACAATTCCTCATTGTATGGGATTGTTCTGTACCTTGGAGAATACTGGACTTCCCTGGCCAGTAGGGCATGCTCGGAGTCTTTAGGGCCATTGTGGCCGATAGCTATCCCCCCCACCACGCACACATTCCCAGATGCTTGGGTAGACATCAGCTGGGGTCTGGGCTGGTGTCTGATCAAATCATTTAAGAAGATTAAATTAAGATTAAGGAAAAGGCTTTGCTGGCTTTAGTCCTAAGATGCCCTTCTGGGTTTGAGTGTTTTGCTGGAAGGCAGCTACAAGAGAGGCAGGAACTGGTCCATCTTCCCCAAGGCTGGAAGAGCTCCCTCTAAGAAGGGGAAATGCCCTCGGGCACATCTCCCCAGCACCCCCAGGTGTTTCCTTGGACCTGTTCTTTCTCAGAACTTTTCCCACAGGTCCCTGGAACTGGAATTTTCCATGTAAAAGTCTATGCAGAGGAGATACTGGTTTATCTTCCCTCTTGTACAATTGGGTCTGAAGATTGCATATAACCATTAAGTGGAGGTGAGGGTAGATTTCTGGTATCTCTCCTCTCTTCCTGTCTCCTCCCTTTCCCCGAAGCCCATTTCTTTCCCTCAATTTCTTCCTGACCACCAACCTCCCAATGTTAAGCAATTCATGCTTAATTCCTAGAGACAGAGGATATGACGATATACCAAATACCAAAGGTTTCTCTATGATGAAGCTGAGAGGGGTTTGTAAAACCAACTCTCTCAGGTCCCTTTTCTCCCTGCTCCTCCTCCCCAGCACACCACAGAGGCTCAGCCATGCCAAGCCGCAAAGGGCCTCAAGAAAAAACCATCCAGGCCAGCCAGGCACCATGGCCCTTGCTTGTAACTGTAGCACTTTGGGAGGTCAAGGCAGGAGAGTCACTTGAGTCCAGGATTTTGAAACTAGCCCGGTCAACAAAACCCCATCTCTACAAAAACAGAAACGACCTAGAGAAAATGAAGTGGGTGGCTAGTTCATTTCCTAAGTCAACCACTAATAAGTGTGAACCTTAGGTTTTCTGCTCTTTTCTTTTTAACTTTTTTTTTTTGAGACAGGGTTTTGCTCTGTCGCCCAGGCTGGAGTGCAGTGGTAAGACCTCAGCCCACTGCAACCTCTACCTCTCAGGTTCAAGCCATCCTCCCAACTCAATCTCCCAAGTACAGGTGTGCCCCCACCATGCCCAGCTAATTTTTACATTTTTTATAGATAATTTTTATATGTTTTGTAGCGATGAGGCTTCACCATGTCACCCAAGGGGGGGTCTCAAACTCTTGAGCTCAAGCCATCTGCCTGCCTCAGCTTCCCAAAGTGCTGGGATTACAGGCATGAGCCACCATGCCCAGCCTTTAGCCACTCTTTACCAAGGGCTTTCCATAGGCCAGCCATTGTTGTGGTCAGCATTTTATAAACCATTTAGTTCACTTAATCCTCAGTTTAGGTATTAGCCCACTTTATAAATGAGGAAATTGATGCTCAGGCAGTTCAGCATCTGCCCAAGGTGATACATAGAGGAAGATACAGAGGTGGGCAAGTCTGGCAGCAATGAGCTAGGGTCTTAACCAGTCCTGCCAAGTATTTGGCTTTTGAGTCGTATTCCTTGAAGTAGAGGAGTCACTGTAGGCAAGCCACCCGCTTGCAGGTAGGGATCTGGTCTCGCAGAATGACAGGCTGGAGAGCTATGGATTGCTGATTTCTTTTTATTTGGCTGTAGTCAACAGAACAGGGCCAGGTGTGGTGGCTCATGCCTGTAATCCCAGCACTTTGGGAGGCTGAGGTGGGTGGGTCACTTGAGGTCAGGAGTTCGAGACCCTCCTGGCCAACATGTTAAAACCCGGTCTGCACTAAAAATACAAAAAATTAGCCGGGCGTGGTGGTGGGCACCTATAATGCCAGCTACTTGGGAGGCTGAGGCAGGAGAATTGCTTGAACCCAGTAGGCTGAGGTTGCAGTGAGCCAAGATCACGCCATTGCACTCCAGTCTGGGCAACATGAGTGAAACCCCATCTCAAAAAACAAAAAAATAAGAATAAAAATAAAACAAAACAAAACAAAAAAACAGAACAGTAACCACATGATGCTAAAAGCTGTCCCCACTGTGGTGCTCTCAGCACCACCTGTTCCTTCTGCAGTAATCTGCTCCTTCGTCACCCTGTCCTGTTCTGCAGCCTGCCTGAGGCCCGCTGACCCTGGAGTTTCACAGTCCCAGAGGCTCAGTGGTATGTGGTAGCCTGTGAATGTCTATATATAAAAAGGCACACAGACGTAGAAGCCACCACTTCCTCTCCCTGCTTCTCAGTTTCCTCCTCAGCCAAAATAGGCCCCACTGCTCCCGGCCTGGTGAGCCCAGTGGCCAAGGCCAGCTTCCCCCTCTCTCAGAGCTGACCTCTGCCCTACACAGGAATGGAGGGGCCGAGGAAGTACAAATAGGCAGGAAGGGAAACATTATTTTCAGGGCCTGGCTGCATTGTTTGTTCTAAAAGGGAAAAGAGGAAAGGGAGAGCCCACTGGCAGCGGCTAGAAATGGTCTCATTGAAATGGGTTATTTTTAGTGGCTGTGCTCACCCAACAGCTGAGAAGGCCACCTGTCAAGACTGGTTGGTACTAGGTCCCCAGCTGGGATTGCCCAGGGTTTCTGCTTTTTGCTCTGTTTTCCTTGCAAGCTTTGCGGCCACATTTCATCATGATCTCATCCTTTCTGAGCTTAAATCTATATGTAGGATGAGGGGGCAGCTCTGAAGCCCTTCCCATTCTGAGTTTTGGAGGATCCCTGGGCAAAACCACTAAAGGACTCAGCCAGAAAGGCATGAGGGGTGGGGGAAGAGCTAGGTGCCTGGGGTACAAAAAACAGAAAAAGACAGCGTCCACTACGTAAGTATAGCCACGTTGCAGGTGAGACATGGGTGCCTCAAAACTGCATAGCAGTCCCTCATTCCCCAGACAGTTAAAAACACAGGCTCTTCACTACTTCCTTGTTTACTCTGCACGTACCTCAAAACAGAGCAGCAGTGTCTTTGTCCCTCAAGGCGGCTGTGTGCTCTCTGTCTGTGGGAACACTTCCCACCTCTGCTGAACCCAGTATCAGTCAACTAACAGTAGCCACGTGAACGTTGGGTACGTCCCAATGCCCCTCTGCCCTGCTCATTTGGAAATTGGGACAGAGACACGTGTATGTACAAAGACCTTTTCTGGACCAAGGAGCTTTCTGCAAAGTGAAGGATGGGACAGTGGGAGCATTGGTTAGGCCTTTAGCCCAGCCCTGCCTGCAGCAGAAAGGATATAGTGGGGAGAAGAGGGAAGGGGGAGGGGATGGCAGATGTGCTGCCCCAGTACCCAAGCCCATGGCATAAGTCCATTTGGACTGGAGCTCCCAAGAGGCCCCAGGAACATGGACCTTGCCAGGTCACCTGACTTCCCATCAGGAACGACGGAGGAGGCTGGCAGCCTGATCTTATCCGCCCTGCACTGTGCTCCAGGCCTGGCTCTGCCCCCGTCTCCTGCCTCTTCCATCACCCAGGGAGCAGCTTCAACTTCTCACCCCACCCCCTTCCACTGGGACTCTCTGTGATTGGAACTTCTCTCTTTTTGACTTACGTCAGCCATCCATCTATCTACTCATTTATTTATTTAATTATTTATTTAAAAAAATTTTTTTTGACAGAGTCTCACTCAGTTGCCCAGGCTGGAGTACAGTGGGGGCAATCCTAGCTCATTGTAACTTCTGAACTTTTAGGCCCAAGCACCCCTTCTGCCTCAGCCCCCTTAAGTGGCCTGGACTACAGGCATGACCAGCACACCAGCTTCTTTTCTTCTGCTTGTTTATATTTGAAGAGACAAGTTCTCGCGGCATCTCCCAGGCTGGTCTCAAAGTCCTGGCCTCAAGCAGTCCGCCTAACTTGGCAGTTTTCTTTATTTCTGTTTGCAACCATTTAAGAATAAAAACCACTCTTAGCCTGTGGACCTTGCAAAAACAAATAGTGAGCTGGATTTGGTCCTCAGGCTGGAGTTTCCTGCTTCTCCTGGCTTGCTGGGTTTCTGTGCTTACTTCCAAATAACCCAGGACTGTGTTAAGAAGTGATCGCCAGGAAAAGCCCCATCGAGTTCTCCCATCGCCCACATACAGCAGGCATTCTTGTTTTGTTTTGAGACAGGGTCTTGCTATGCTGCCCAGGCTGCAGTGCAGTGGTGCAATCTGCTGACTGCAACCTCCGCCTTCTGGGTTAAAACGATTCTCATGCCTCAGCCCCCTGAGTAGCTGGGATTACAGGTGCATGCCACCATGCCCTGAGAATTTTTGTATATTTTGTAGAGACAGGGTTTCACCAGGTTGCCCAGACTGGTCTCAAACTTCTAAGCTCAAGCAATCTGCCCACCTCGGCCTCCCAAAGTGCTGGGATTACAAGTGTGAGCCATCCCACTCAACCCACATACAGGAGGCATTCTAAAGCTGCCTGCAGAGTTCTGCATGAAAGATCCCCCACCCTCCTTGAAAATAAAATGACACAAAATCCCGTGTATAATTATGGTCTCAGCCATTTGCACGGCAGGCCATTCAGAGTTGTAGATTTACTAAAAGGTAAAGTATGTCCCAGGACTAGATCACATTCTCAGGACTATGATGCATTCCACCTGATTGGGGAAACAGACCACATTATCTGGTAAAGAGCTTGGGCTCTATCATCACACCAGCTTTGATTCAAATCCAGACTCTGCTACCAACTAGCTCTGTGATGTTTGGACAAATAAATTCACTTCTTTGGACTTCATTTTTTTTTCTTTTTTTTTTGAGACAAGAGTTTTACTCTTGTTGCCCAGGCTGGAGTGCAATGGCACCATCTCAGCTCACTGCAGCCTCCGTCCCCTGGGTTCAAACAATTCTCCTGCCTCAGTCTCCCAAGTAACTGGGATTACAGGTGTGTGCCACCATGCCCGGCTCATTCTGTATTTTTAGTAGAGTTGGGGTTTCACCATGTTGGCCAGGCTGGTCTTGAACTCCTGACCTCAAGTGATCCACCCACCTCAGCCTCCCAAAGTGCTGAGAATTACAGGCATGAGCCACCACGCCTCGACGAGCTTCATTTTTCTTACCTATAAAAATGAAGGTATCTCACTCTTAAAGTTTAGAATCATTAAGAACATACGTGAATATCTTAAGTGTCCCAGCGACATACTAGCAACTGCTCCATAACCATTATATTATGCTATTGCCATTAGTAACGGCATGCTATGTTTCGGCCAGAGAGTCAGCTGGTATGCAGGCCACCAGCTTAAAATGAAAAGAGGAAAACAAAGGAGGCATCGTCTGTGTTGTCTGGCACGGCAAAGGGAAGAGTGTGCTTTGGTTCCAGAATACTTGTGTTCTCCGGGTGGAAAATTCCCCAGGGTCAACAGAGACTTATTTATCCTGCTATCCTGGCTTAGCAGAAGTAACGCTTTTATGCATATCTGTCTCGCTTCTGTGTACTCAGTAAACACAGTGTTGATTTCTGTATAGTTTGGGTGACCGAAGGAAGTTGCTCACCAGGAAAGGGTGGAAAGAGTGAACGAACTATTTGGGGGTGCTGTGCTGGCAGGTCCCCCAATCTGTGTATGAGACCTGGCAGTGAATTTTGAGACTGTCAAGCCTGAGTAGGAATCTTAGTCCTTCATCAACCCTCGTTGGCCTGCATAGGTCCAAAGTATGCCCTGTGGTGTGTATGGGACGAGCACCCCTCCCTGCCTTCAAAAGAATTCCCAAGCAGCCAGCCAGCCTCTCCTGCTTTGAGTCATTCTGCTTAACCTGCTTTCTCTATTTTTTCTCTGTTCCCCCCAGCAAACTCCGGAACCAGGCACAGAGTGAGCGGTATGGATACAAGGAGGTAAAGTGCTGCATGTTTCTGGGAAGCTTCCTTCTCTGCCTGACCTGATGGGAAGAGGCAAGGAGGGCAGGCTTAGGCTCTCCTGGGCAGGAATCCCCCCTGGCCTCACCTCTGAGCCTCCCTGAGGCTAACCCCCTTCAGTGTCAGAAGTCTGGCTTGCCCCAGGCGTTCCACGGGACTCCCTTCATTAGTTGATACCTGGCTGGCCACAGTGGTTGGTTTCTTCTTCAGACATCATGTGTCTTCTTTCTTTTCAGGTGGTGATTAAAGGTGATGCCAAGAAGTTACAATTATATGGGGTAAGTGTGCCAGGAGAGCGTGCAGGAGGGCCCCAGCAGGTGAGACAGCACCTTGCTCCAGCTCTCAGCTTGAACGCTTTCAGAAATCTGCTTAGTTCCTGCTTTCGTATCTCCTTTGGCCAAATAATAGGGACACATCTCAGCAAGTAATTTATACATGGAATTGATTTTATCTGGAATAGCCTCAAGCAGAAGACATGAAGGGATCACAGAAGGGTTTAGATAAGTAGTGCCCCACAGCCCCAGGAATCCACTTGCATAATTTTTACCAGGAGGATGGTCACACCCTTTCATGCCATAGACAGAATTCAGCTAACTTTCCCTTGTTCAGCCCCTATGTCCTGGTGGTTACTGTAGACAATGAGGTCCTTTGATTTTTGTGTATACCCCATCTTAACAGACGAGATCTAACTAGTGGGTTTATTCCTGTGACTCTGCCATTTCTCTCCCACCCCACTCCCACCCATACACTAATTCCTTTAGTCCCCTCAACTCTGACTTTAGGAATTAGTCATATCCCATTCCTTTCCTACTTATGCCTCTAAGGTCACCTAACCCATTTCCCAAGCCTTCTGTTCATGACCACAGACACTCCTGCTTAGAGCATGCTCATGGTTGTCTGGGAGTGGGGAGGATCACAGTTCCACTACACATGACACCTCCTAGACGTGGGCTCATTTTGTCCCTTACGCCTCACTCAGCAAGTGCAAATGCTTCCCAAGCCTTCTTCTAGGAGAATAATTCACCTGACGTCAAGGGAGTTAATATGTAGGGATGTGGGAAGTCTAGATTTAAAGAATGTAACTGATCACAAATACTGCCGCCCCCATCCTTAACTCTGCATAGTATTACATGCCTGCTCACCAAATGTATTGTGCAAGAAAGTATTGAAAACCATTCTTAAGTCGGGCGCAGTGGCTCATGCCTGTAATTCTAACACTTTGGGAGGCTGAGGTGGGTGGATCACCTGAGGTCAGGCGTTGAAGACCTGCCTGGCCATCATGGTGAAACCCCATCTTTTAAAAATAAATAAATAAATAAAAGAAAACCATTCTTCTAGGATAGCTCTTTCCAGTGCAGTTGAAACTTCTATGATAATAGGAATGTTCTATGTTTGCTGCCTGATAGAACAGACTAGGCTAGAGCTTAGTTTTTTCTTGTCTGGGGATGAATGAGTGAGACGCTTTTACCTGCTCCTTTCTATCTGCAGCAGACCTGCGCAGTCTGTCTGGAAGACTTCAAGGGGAAGGATGAGCTAGGCGTGCTCCCGTGCCAACACGCCTTTCACCGCAAGTAAGTGGGAATGTGTCCAGGGTGCCCTTTGAAGGAGAAGTAATCAGAAAGCATCTTCGGGAACCTTCCAGTCTCTGCCATTTCCTATCTACTGCTTGCCAGAGATGCCCCAGGTCCTGTGTAAACACCAAGCAAAGCTCGGGGATTAGGTTGGGGCAGGTATCGGGATATTCCTCTTCTTCTTTTTTTTTTCTTTTTTTTTGAGACAGAGTTTCGCTCTTGTTGCCCAGGCTGCTAGGCTGGAGTGCAATGGCATGATCTCGGCTCACTGCAACCTCTGCCTCCCGGGTTCAAGCGATTTTCCTGCCTCAGCCTCCCCGATAGCTGGGATTACAGGTGCCCACCACCACACCTGGCTAATTTTTTGAAGTTTTAGTAGAGATGGGGTTTCACCATGTTGGTCAGGCTGGTCTCAAACTCCTGACCTTCCACCTGCTTCCACCTCCCCGAGTACTGGGATTACTGGCGTGAGCCACCGAGGGATAGTCTTGTTTTGGGAGACAGCTGGAGCAGTGTGGTCTACCTCATTAGAGATTACCGTTATTCCTTTGTTCCCAGGTGTCTGGTGAAATGGCTGGAAGTTCGCTGTGTCTGCCCCATGTGTAACAAGCCCATTGCTGGTCCCTCAGAGGCCACGCAGAATATTGGGATTCTATTGGATGAGCTGGTATGAGTGCTGCAGCTACACCGAGACCTGGAGAAGACCTTTTGCCTCGTGGATGCACAGGTGTAACAAACAGGACTGTAAGGTGATGATGGTCACTTTCCCCGTGATGGGAAGGGTAGTCCAGGGCTGGGCTTCCACCCTCAGTGCGAGACCAGTGCCAGATGTGCCCCCACTTCCTGCCTCATGAAGCCTTCTTCCCTGCTACTCCATGCTGGTGGCCTCACCCATCAAGACCACCATTTCCTGGTACTGGACTATCTACCTGCCTTGTCCCTGCTCTGGGGGAAGGCGTCCATCCCAATCAAGAACATGGAGGACATCCTTTTTCAAGGTTCCCCTTAGGAGGATGAGCTGCCCTGACCCAGAAGGGATAAGATGGGCTCTGCCCCCTCTACAGACCTTCCCTCCCCTTCTCAGTTCTTCTGGAGGAAGGAAAGATCAAGGAACCATGCACCTCCACAAGAGGCGAGGGAGGCTCTGTATGAAACAGAAGAGCAGGGACATTAAGGAAAATGTCAATGTTTACACGGGACCTATGGAAACAAAGGCTGGCCGGTGCTGGCTGACTCCAGGGTAAGAGAGGGCCCTTCCCCTGCCAGGACCCAAGGTGCTATCCATTCATTCTCTTCCTCAGTTAGAGCTTCCTGTTCCACGTTGAGGTTTGAGGACCCTCTAGAGGAGGGCTAGTTCTGTACTCCAATTGATTCCCAGGGGCAGTTTTTTTTTGTTGTTTTGTTTTTTTTTGGATCAAAAGGGGCGTAGGGATGAGGGTATCTACCGTTGAGCAACAGATACCTCCTTCCCTTTGTAAGTAGTATTTTTATACTTCTTCCTCACCTCTCAGGCTTTAGATACGAAATCCCCAGAATGGAAGGGGGTGGGGATTTTTTCTATTCCTCCCTGCAGTGGGTGAGGGTGGGAGAAAGTTATGTATTTAAAGAAAAATAAATGTAATACCAAGTTTCTCTAACCTACTTTACTTGTGGTTGTGACTGCCTCACCCCTTTCTGCCAATAGAGGGAACAAAATCCTCAAACTGCCTCTTCTCACTTCCCCATGTATCCACACGAAACACACACAAGTTCCTAATTCTTTTAAAAGTTCTTTATCTTTTTGAGACAGGGTCTCACTCTGTCATTGAGGCTGGAGTGGAATGGCTTGATCATGGATCACTAAGACCTCCCTGGCTCAAGTGATTCTCCCACCTCACCTCCCAAGTAGCTGGGACCCCAGGCGTGTGCCACAATGCCTGGCTAATTGTCTAAAATTTTGTGTAGAGACTAAGTCTCCCTTTGTTGCCCAGGTTGGTCTTTAACTCCTTGGCTTAAGCAATCCTCCCACCTCAGCCACCCACAGTGCTAGGATTATAGTTATGAGCCATTGCACTCAGCCTAAAAGTTCCTAATCCTTTTTTTTTTTTTTTTTTTAAGAGATGGGGTGTCACCATGTTGGCCAGGCTGGTCTTGAACTCCTGACCTCAGGTGATCCACCCATCTGAGCCTCCCAAAGTGCTGGGATTACAGGCATGAACCACTGCGCCCTGCCATTCCTAATCCTTAAGAACAGAAATTGATCTTCGATTGTTATCTGTGCAATATATGTTACGGCTAACACCAAGGGGCATGAAGACCTTGCTAAACCAGGCTCCATCTGATTTCTAGCATATTTTTAAAGGAAGTTTATGTTTGCAATCACAGCATTCCATCAACTAAGACTTGAAACTAACAGAATTCTACTTGTAATTCAAGCAATTGTCAGTCCCCTTAATTCAACCAGTCACAACTAAAAAGGTCTAGGTTGCTACCATAGAGGCTTTGATCTCTTTTTTGGTGGTGGGGGGGTGACAGTGGTACAATCCCGGCTCACTGCAACCTCCACCTCCTAGCTTCAAGAGATTCTCCGGTCTTAGCCTCCCAAGTCGCTGGGACTACAGGCATGCACCACCACACCCAGATAATTTTTTGTGTTTTTAGTGGAGACGGGGTTTCACCATGTTGGCCAGGCTGAACTTCTGGGATCAAGTTATCCACCTACCTTGGCCTCCCTAAGTACTGGGATTATAGGCAGGAGCCACCGTGCCTGGCCCTTATTTATTTTATTTTACAGGTGTGGCTCTTACCTATAATCCTAGCACTGTGGGTGGCTGAAGTGGGCGGATTGCTTGAGTTTAAAAAAAAAAAAAAAAACCTAGGCTAGAGTGCAGTGGCACAATCATGGCTCACTGTGGCCTTAAACTCCTGGGCTCAAGCAGTCCTCCCACCTCAGCCTTTGAGCAGTTAGGACCACAGGCACAGACCACCATGCCCAGCTCATTTTTGTACTTTTTTTTTTGTAAAGATGGGGTCTCACTATGTTGCCCAGGCTGGCTTCAAACTCCTGGGCTCAAGTGTTCAGCCCACCTCGGCCTCCCAAAGTGTTAGGATTACAGGGGTGAGCCACTGTGCCCAGCCGTCTTATTTTTTCCTAGCTACTTGCTGGCAATTACTGCCACCTCTGCCTTCTCTAGCAGTGTTACACGGTGATGCTTTATGGTCCTCTGTGCACTCACACCTTGCATTCATGCCCTCCACTTTTGTTCTGTTCATGTCCCAAGGAAGCACTGGGTGAGTGGTGGGTGTGCAAAGTGCATTAAGAGTGTTGGGAATGGTCTGTAATCCCAGCACTTTGGGAGGACGAGGCGGGCAGATCACTTGAGACCAGGAGTTTGAGACCAGCCTGGCCAACATGGCAAAATCACATCTCTACTAAAAATCCAAAAAGTAGATACACACTTGTAATCCCAGCTACTCGAGAGGCTGAGGCATAAGAATTGCCTGAACCCATGAGGTGGAGGTTGCAGTGAGCCAGGATTGCACCACTGCACTCCAGCCTCGGCCACAGTGAGACTCAAAAAAAAAAAAAAGTGTTGGGAATGATTTTCATGACCATAATAAGCATGAAGCAGCTGGGCCTATATTTGCCCCTGAGTGTTGAACACAGAGCGTATGCTGAGTATGTATACTGTTCTGGTGAGTCATAGATAAGCAGGAGGTACCCATGCACCCAGAGGTGCCAGGCCCCAGGGGAAGGGGCAATGCCTTCTCAGCTGTGATTGCGCCATGGAGGCTTTCAGCACAGTGTGTGCTCATGCTGGGCAGCCCCAAGGTACAGCTGGGGCACCTGGCAGTCGTGGTGCAGTTATTGGCACTGGTCTTGATGGGATTCTTTGCCCATGGGTGCATCTGTTCTTGCCACCTAGTTCCTCCTCACAGAGTTAACCCCTGCTCTTCCTTGAAGCCACCAACCCCTGCTTGCTGCTGCCAACCCTACGGGGCCTGATCATTGCTTCATTGGGGTTACTGCATCATCTCCCAGCACCCCCAGCTTGCTTTAATGTGGTGAATAAAATGCATTTCCTATGCAAAACACAGAGCCTTCCCTCCAGCTCCTGCCGCAGCCTCATGGTAGGTACATTGCTGGAATCAGATGGGAAGAGCATGATCAGTAGGTTGGCTTCAACTTTCTTGCCTTACCATCTCCTGTTTCTCTTACGGAAAATGTGTTTGAATTCATCAGCATTAGCATAGTTCTGATTGAATTTTTTGTGTTTATTTTTGAGAGTCTTGTTCTGTTGCCCAGGCTGGAGTGCAGTAGCATAATCTTGACTCACTGCAACCCCCACCTCCCAGTTTCAAGTGATTCTCCTGCCTCAGCCCCCCAAGTAGCTGGGGTTATAGGTATGTGCCACCATGCCTGGCTAATTATTGTGTTTTTAGTAGAGATGGGGTTTTACCATGTTGGCCAGGCAGGTCTCAAACTCCTGACTTAAGGTAATCTGCTCACCTCAGCTTCCCAAAGTGCTGAGATTACAAGCATGAGCCACCTTGCCCAACCAATTCTGACTAAAATATTAGCACTAGATTGTCTGTGTTCGTGAATTTGAAAATCAGCATCCTGAAGTCAAGAGAACAGGGAAAACTGCCTTGTATTATTTCTAGTGCTTCCACAGAGTTAGGTAGAATGCCATTACAGAGCACAGAGAAGGGAAAACTGGATATTGATCAGATTTGACTTGGCAGCAGCTGAGAACAAGTTAAATAATCATAAATAAACTCATAGTCATTAATATGGTCTAGTGACTCAGTTCAGTGTTGTGAAGAACCTACTCCCTGGGCCGGGTGCTGAGATAGGACAGCTCCTGCCTCATAAAGCAGTGTATTTTAGGTGAGCGGGCTCATATGTCAGGGAGACACTCAGCACCACTGGTGTGAGAACTGCAAGGGTACCTGCCAGGATAGGACACGTGAGTCTCGAGCTGTGTGAGCAAACACACACAGGATTAACAGCCTGCTGGGTACCAGGGAGTGCAAACTGTGGAGAATAGAGTTGAGGTGGACAAAGATGGGAAGAGAAGTCTTGGGTGGGGCCAGAAACCTGGGACCTGATAGAGTGAGAATCCTGCAGTTTCTTTAGATTGGGCTTTTTAAACATTTGGGCACCATTTAAGAGCTAAGCCCATTATTTTCCTCTTGTTCATGAGATATCGATGAGCAAAGGATATTTATTCTCATTACTGAAGGAGAATTTGTACCCCGAATGTGTTTCAAAGGGTGAAAAAACTGTACCGAGCATGGTGGCTCACGCCTGTAATCCCAACACTTTGGTAGGCCGACACCTGAGGTCGGGAGTTTGAGACCAGCCTGCCAACATGGTGAAACTCTGTCTCTACTAAAAATAAAAAATTAGCCAGGCATGGTGGTGTGTGCATGTAATCCCAGCTACTGGGGAGGCTGACGGAGGAGACTTGCTTGAACCCAGGAAGCAGAGGTTGCAGTGAGCCAAGATTGCACCAGTGCATGCCAGCCTGGGTGACAGAGCAACTCTGTCTCAAAATAAAACAAAAGGGAAAAAGCTGAAGGAAGCTGGGTGATAATCATAGGTACCAGAATTCCAACTTCAATGATCTTACCTTTGGCAAACAAACACCAATCAGTCAAAAATAAATAAGAACTTACCCACCAAAGCGTTTCACAAAATGCATTTCTTGCCCCCTCACCCTACCACCCCCGCCGCCGTATATATCCTTCTGAGTTTCAGATTAGGAAAAGAACGTGGAGAAAAGCAATGGCTTACCTGTGACTACACAGATAACAAGCATCAGAGCCAAGGCACAAACCCAGGTCGTATGGGTCTAAGATCAATATGGCTTTGCTGCCCCGTGTAGCTTCAGAGGCAGATTGCTCTCTCAAAGATAAGAAAATGGCAGGTGATAGTAATGCCTAAACTAATGCAATCTGGGAAGACAAAAACTCCAGGTAATTGTCAAGTGATTTGTGTGCTTGTCATTGTCTAAGGCCTTAGGGTGTGAGTGGGTTTTTTTATACATAATATTTGTACGTGTTTTGGGGGTACGTGTGATATCTGTTACATGCACAGAATGTGTAATGATCAAGTCAGGGTATTTAGGGTATCCATCACTTTGAGCATTTACCATTTCCATGTATGGGAACATTTCAGGTCCTCTCTTCAAGCTATTTTGAAATATATGATACGTTGTTGCTAACTTGAATCTTCCTGTTCTGCTGTGGAATATCAGGACTTATCCCTTCCGTCTGACACGTTTGTCCCCATCCATCACCCTCTCTTTACGCTCACCACACATACCCTTCCCAGCCTCTGGGAAGGGTATCATTCTACTCTCTATTTCCATGAGATGTTCATTGTTTTTTCATTTCCACAGTAGATTGCTTCTTTTAAAGAAATCTATGTTTGTTTGATTGTTTCTTCTTTTTGAGATGGGGTTTCGTTCTTGTTGTCCAGGCTGGAATGCAATGGCATGGTCTAGGCTCACTGCAACCTCCGCATCCCGGATTCAAGTGATTCTCCTGCCCTAGCCTCCCAAGTAGCCGGGATTACAGGCACCCACTGCGACACCCAGCTAATAAGAAATCTAGGCGGGGTGTGGTGGCTTATGCCTGTAATCCTAGCACTTTGG